TATATATATATTCTTTTATAAAATGTGCGCACATTTAAATTATTGTGCCTATTGAAGCCAGATAAATTTCTACTAATTAAATACCGTTAGCTGGATCATTTAAGCACATTTTCATTGTCCCATCAACTCCTCTTTACATATTTGAAATGTGTACAGTAACAAATTTCAAGAGAATAATAATAATCAAAGTTCTTGTGCTAAGAATTTTAAAAAACTCATAAAAAAATGTTAAGCAATTTTTTTTTAAAGTAAACACTGATATAGCTTAAAATAGCAAGTTTCAATTTAAACGTCTACTATAAGAACGATTTAGTAAATATTTGTATTTAAAAGCACCTTGAATAAACCTTAATTCTTTACTAAAACTGTACTTTTTCCACATGCATGAGAAACTTCAATTTTTCTTTATTTACTTATTCATTTTTGGAATAAAAATAAGGGAATTAAGCCTTTTACAAAAAAGAATACTGCATAAAAATTTGTTCTCAAATATTTAAAAAAGCAATTATTTTCCAACAGTCTTTTTATCTTCAGCATAAAAATGCAATCCTTCGTGACAAGGGATGAGTCCTTTCTAATGCGGCTATAAATTTTACTTCAATACTTGTGACAGGATTGGACTCTATTAATTACTTTCAAAAGATCGATACATACTTCAGTTTTTTTTTATTTTTTGTTCAAAATACTTTTCGAAATAGTATCTTTGTTTAGAAACTAATTTTCTGAAACATAAATCTCGCTTCATGGAAAATATTCGATAAGAATTTTTCTAATTTGCAATATGAGCACAAAAGATTTTCTTTGTTTTGAAGGATCAAAACCAAACACAAATTATGGGAGTTCAGAATTTTTGGAATTTTTAAAAACAATTAAGAATATGATAGACTGAAGATTTTAACAATAGTTTCAGGGGGAAATATTTTACATTATTTTGTCATTTATATTGTGCTTAAGACCCTTGCAATGGAATAATTCAATATAAAATTATGATTCGCTTTTCAGCTTCTGAAGAATATTGTCCTGACTACCTTTATTGGGACACAATTTAAAAGAAATGTATACTAAGAAACAAAACTCAAAGGACTTAAATATTTAAAGAAAAAACAATAAAACATTTTTAAACGAAAATATAATTAAACAAAACCAGAAACAAAGAAAACCAATGCCGCAACAAGTCTTTTTGAACCTGGGTTTTTTGTGGCTACAGTCCCTGGCCAAATTATTAGACGCACTGTAAGAGTTTATGTAAAATCTTAATAATCAGGTCATACTATATTATTTTTACGAGACTGAAGCCGGTTTGCCCTTCTTTATCAATTCCGTGCATCAATTCGACGTTTGGATAAATTAGACGATATATAAGTATAGAATATTTGTTGTATCAGGTATTATATTAGTGAATTGTAATAATTAGACCAAATTATTAGACCCGCTATAGTCTTTTCATAATTACATGTTTTGCACTAGTAAAAACATTTTCTAGTAAAAAAGTTTTATTATTTAAACTAAAATTTTATTATTTAAAACTCAGTAAAAAATTGCACTAGTGAAAAACTTTTGCACACATAAAAAATCTCCTGAATAGAACCCATTACATGTATGTTTAAATATAAAAGTATAGCATATAAATGTGCTATACTTTCATATTTAAACATACATGTAATGGGTTCTATTCAGGAGATTTTTTTATATAATTTATATTTGCATTTAATTTTTATACATTGCATTACAATGTTAACCAATCGATACACGAACGTAAACAAGTGCAAACTGGTTTCAGTCGCTTAAAAACAATAAAGCTGTATAGTATCACGTGATACTTCAGATTTTACATCGAATGTTACAGTGCATCTAATAATTTGGAAAGGGACTGTAAGGCTCTACGATTTTGTTAGTAACGACATGATTGTAGAAATGTGGTCAGCATTACGTACAATGTTCCTTTTGTTCCCAGACAAGCTGGTACCCGTTGATCTGAAGCAGAGTTGGCTCAAAGCCACCACTGAGGATCGAACCCCATTCCTTCACAATGATAGCTCAGTGCATTTAACCACTGAACTCTCGAGGCTGAAACAAATCAACAACCAATTAGATCAGAAGAAAAATATAATCAAATGCTGTATTTTTTCCATATCAGTTTACAAACTTTCTCTTCACATTAAGCTAAATGAATGTAGTAATAACATCAATTTTTGAAACATTAATAAAGAGCATTAATCAATCAAATATAATACACTTGTTATAATAAAAAAATAACAGTTGTTATAATAAAATATACTACACTTGTTATAATAAAATAGTAACCAATAGGTTCAAGTTTGAAATACATTTGCAAGTGAGGTGAAGAACTCTTAAGCATTTTTTTGGTCAGCTTACAACTGATAATAATATTCTATATTAATATAAGTTATAATGGTTTTATGAAAATGGATTCTGAAAAACCTTCTACTGCGATATGAGAAAAAATTAGGGGATTTCCATCTGTCTAGGTTAATTCCCTATTAACCAAACTAGATTGCATTATTTACCATATTAGGTATTCCCCATGAACTTACAACATTAGTTTACATGCCACCATAAAGATATCAATTTTTTCAAAATCAAAAATACTCTTCATTTAAACACCTACGAAGTTCTTACTGTCTATCCAGAAGGATGGATAAAATTTTGAAAATTAGTAATATAATAAGTGTAATCAAAACTTGTAAACTCCAAAGCATATAAATGTCAGACTATGGATTTCAATGAACAAGGTTCGAGTAAGAGTCAGAGATCACGAGTTCGAAAAACCTCTGAAAGAGGGAGTTCGAACATTTAAAAATAGTTTATAGACAGAATTTGCATAGTATTAATTTTGAGTGTGTAAGTACCCTCATTATGCAACTGTTATTTTGTATATATATAACAAATCAAGATTGGATTTGGAGTTTTGTTTCTTTTGATTTTCATGACTGTATGTATTGAATTCGTTACCTCATGTTATGGAGAGGATTGTTTCTCCTTTATGATGTTTAAGTTAAGTTATGATTTTACTTGCTTAATAAAATTTATGATTAGTTAAAAGATGACTTTTTCATTATGCTTGCTGGGCATTTTCCACAACGCACTAAACTCT